CGGGATAACCGCTAGGCCAAGCCTGCCCACTCCCCAGTTGGAGGAAACTGGGGTGTGTGTGCGCTTTCTACAGAGAGTTAGGTCCACAGCTGAGCTCTGTACAGAGCGAGATTTACAGCAAACTTTGCCATGGAAGGCGTTTTTAGCATGGATGGGTTTTAACGTGGTTCTGCTGACGTGCAGTTTGGTCAGAAGGAAGGTGCTCTCTCGCCTGATGGCTCTGTGTTCCGGCGGCGGAGAGCTCCCATCAGAGGACTGGGAAAGGCTGCAAAGCCTGCACACTCTACTGCCACATGCAGTAAAGGCCCATCCAAGCCGCAGCAAGACAACGGATGTCACCACGGCTCTGCTGGACACCATCTCCCAAAGGCATTGCAAATCCGGGCAGGGGAGATGGCATTTCTCAGGTGCGCCACAGCAGAGAACACTGCTGATGCTTACAGCTGGGTATGGGGTAAGTGCTGCAGGAACTGGTGTTTTGGGGGAGATACTGCACACGCACACGTACAGTCTGGCAGGAAGATGGTATCTGTACCATCACATCTATTTTAAACTGTCTCAGACTGAGAGGATGTTTACTAACTGAGTTAATTGGCAGGCTGTACAGCCTATATGGCTTTGAAGTCAGCAGGGCGAGCCCACAGCCGGCTTCCTGCTAACGAGCATGGCACCAAGGCAGGAGGGCTGGGACACATCTGCCAGGAGAGCCGAGCCCACGGCAGGAGAGCAGCTTGACCCCACGTTGACACAGCTGCTTGCTGCGCCCCGGGCAGACCCAGTGTTTGGGCGAGCGGTGCCTGGAAGCTGAGCCAGTGCTGACCACTGGGCCCCTACCCCGCAACGCAGCCAGCAGCCAAAAGGCAGCTCTGTCCCTGCAGCCTGGGGCTCAGCACAGCCCAGCTGAGCTGGTCAGTCCCAAAGCTGTGCTTGTTTCCATAAGCAGTAAGGTGACAGGAGTGTATCCCTGTTCCTGGCACAAGGTGCACCCAGAAACCTTGGATAAACAGCACAAAAAGCAGCTTGTTCCCACCCCGCTGTGCTGGCTGCATCCGACTGCTCCCGAGGGTGAAAAGCAATGAGGACGGGGAGCCTGGTGCTGCCATTCCCGGTGGTTTGGCTGTGCCTTGCAGGTGATGGTAGGAGCAGTGCCCCAGGAGAGATGTCCTTCCTCCAACACCAACAGCAGCCCCAGCCGCAGTCCCTGCTCCCGGGACCCGATTCCCCCATCCCGCCTCATCGGCCAGCGAGATGTCCGAACTCACCAGCTAAACACACCTTCAGCTTTAATAAAATACCCTTTGTTTACAGATACACCCATATGTATATGTGTATATAGATATGCATAATATATGTATACACACATATGCATATGTGTACCCCATGCTGCTTCACACAGCAGTGAACACTGAACACCTCAGGGCTGGGGGGGCTCCCGCAAGCCAGTGCTTTATCTCCAAATCACAGTGTCTGCCCGTTCCTGTAACAGAGCTGCCTCACCAGCAGACCCCAAGCACCCATGGGTGAGCACCCTGCTCCCAGTAGTACTGTCCCCAGCCCTACAGCGTGAAGGTGGCATGTCCCCATGAGCTGCAGGGCGGCACAGGGTCTCTTCCCCACTGCCGCCAGGTCCCGGGCTGATGACCCCCCCCACCCGTCGGTGCGGGAAGGGCAGCAGGAGAGCCCTGGGAGCATGGGGCTTGCTGTACCATCAGCTAGCTACAGACCACCCGAGCCTATGGCATGACTGGCATTGTGGGTCTGTGCCACAGGAGCCATCCAGCAGCGTTGCCAGCCCAGCCTTTGCAGTCTGCTCCCGGTGTGGAGTCAGTCTGTGCAGATTTAGCGGGGAGCAAACAGTGGCTGGGGTGCACCCATGGTCTGGTGACTGCCCCTGAGCCCAGAGCTGGGGTGGCCGCCTGCCCGGGTGCACCATTACCTGCGGGGACACCTCTAGACAGCCTTCTTGTCCTGCGTGGCCAGGAGCTGGGAGACGCAGTAGGGGATGAGGCCAACAGTGGCCAGCGGCACAGCTGCGCTCTTGCAGAAGGAGAGGACGTAGAAGAGCAACTGCATGTGGGAGGGTGGCTTGAAGGCATCAAAGAGGTGTAGGACGAGGAGGGAGGCGGCGACGCAGCCCAGGCGGAAGGGCAGCTGCCGGCCCTGCTTCCCCCGGCAGCTTTCCGTGTACATGTGGGAGTTGAGGGCCAGCCCCAGCCCAAAGAGGATGCCCAGGTTACGGAGGAGGCTGGCGAAGGGCCTGGAGTCAATGTGGACCCACTCGGGGTGGGCGCACCACCTCCGCGCCTTCTCCAGCGTCCAGAGCAGGTCCACGCCAAGTGCCAGCAGCAGCAGGTAGAAGCCCAGGGCGAAGCTGAAGAGGAAGAAGGTGACGCCCAGGTACCGGCAGAGGCTGGCGTGGTAGATGCAGCGGACGTGCTGGAAGGTCTTGGCCACGGCCATCCCTGCCAGTAACGAAGCGGGAGAGGAGGCGGTGCCGATCAGTGAGCGACCGCCTGCCTCTGGGCAGTGGAGCTGAGCGGACCCCACAGTCCTGGGTGCTCAGCAGGGGACATGTGCCAGGGCCTACCCAGATGCTACCGCACGGTGACTGCCCCAATGGCCACCGCTGTGTCCTGTTGCTCACAGATGGCTGATTCTGCTCCCTTGCCCAGTGACGACCCTTCCACACCCCAAGCCTGCCCTGCCTGTGCCTTCGGGCTACATTCACTATCCCTCAGAGACCAGCAGTGGCTGGCACTGCCCTGCCCGCCCAACTGGGACTCGTGCCTCAAATGGGATAGGGACAAAGGCATGTCCTGGAGGGCAGCCTGCCTGTGACGATGAGGGCAGTAACTGCAGAGCCACGGGTGCAGCTTTGCATCACGACCCCACACACGACCGTCAGGCTGTGCACCCTTCCTGGCCAGTGCTGCGAGTGCGGCAGTCCAGCACAGTGGTGCCGTGGGGAAGGGGACGGGGGGGTCTGATGCACTCACCTGAGATGACCCCTGCGATGACCTGATGGGGGAAGTGGGCAGCAATGAAGACTCGGGACAGGCAGACGCAGACCTGAACTGCCCAGAACCCTGTCCAAAGCACCATCCACAGCACCCTGCAAGGGGCAGGCAGCCACATTGGTGCCAGGCCCGGCTCGCACTGCCTGGGGTGCCA